CTTTCGGAAATATAAGTTTCCGCGGAAATGAAAAATGAAAAATTTTCATCTTTTTATAGATTATTTCACTGATTTTAGACACGTTCTTTTATATAAATTCATTCGTTTTTCGAACGAATCCGAATAAACTTATGATTGCGACAGGCGAGTAATTTTAATCAACGTACGGATGTGCGAATTCTCGCAGCAACAGGCTCGAAATTTTTCACCGACGCGAATGATTAATTTCACCCTGATTTTTTTTTGTTTGGTATTTTGGTATCTATGCACCGAACTTTTAATTTACTCGCGAGCATCGGCAATTTCGACATTCGCTATTTGCCAATGAAAAGGGTAAAGTAACATCCATTTTTTATTGTATACATATCTCTCGCAACCATCGCGATCAAATATGATGCATGCGTGGCTATAAGCGTTTGCAAAATACAGAGACTAGACACACGAGATTTTCCTGGTCGCGAATTCATCTCACGTTCTCATTTATCGGTTGGGTTCATTCCAAGTAATCGATTATCAATCGCTATAGCATTGCGGAGTTTTTTTTTCACCCCGAATCGGGAAAAGGACTTAAAAACCGTCATCGTTAACCGCGTCTTTTCGCGGCGCGACGCATAGTGCGCGTTTTTTTTTTTTTTAATTCCATCGCGATGTCAATCGGACTAAGAGAGGAGAATCATTAAAAAAAACTAGATCCAGAGAAAACGAAGCGTACGGATCGTTTGACGAATCACGAGGCGGCTCTTGGATATACCGACGTGGGAGGCGCACCACGGGAGGAAACGAGGCGGGGAGGAGGGGATGATGTTTTTTTCCTCGGCGGCGCCTCTTTAATTTGCCCTCCAATTAACGGACGGGGTCCTATTTGAAAAATACCTGCCACGAGGGCTGGCAATTATACTTCTTCCTTTTTTTTGCGTCACGAGCGCGTTATTAGCGCTATCCGTCCAACCCCCGCTGTCTCTCCCCGTCCCTTGCATTCTCCTTCTCTCCTCCAACTCTCGTTTGCTCTTTCCTTCCGTCCACCTCTCGCACTCTCTCACCTATTTCCTCCACCTCTCCCATCCATTTTGTCTTAGTGCATGTGTGCGAGCGCGAAGGGATGGGACGAGAGTGGGCGAGAGCGTATCCGCACGATTGTATGCGTTTTACGTGTATTGCGGAGCACGCGGGTGAAGTGATGCAGCGATGGGACGAGGGAGATGAAGGAAGGAAAAGGATAGGAAGAGATAACGAGATAGAGGAGGACAGGTGAGATGGAGAGAGAAAAGGGGTTGGCGGGTGGTAGCGAGAGAGAAAATTGGAGTGAGAGAGCGGAGCAGCAGTGCGGTATGGTAGCTGCGGGTCGCGAGGGGCTAGAGAGGGAAGGAGTGGCGTTTATAACTCGTGCCCGGGTCTCCCGGCTTTGAGAAGGCCAATTAGCAGCATAAAGCTGCAGCTCGGCCCCGAGGCCGAGGATGTTTGTATGTAATAATGGATTGTTACTCAAAGTATCCGGCTAATTAATTAAGCCCCCGCCGCGCGTCCGCCCGCTTGTCGTCGTACTGAACGGCAACGGTGGTGGTGGCGGTGGTGGTGGTGGCGGTGGTGGTGGCGGCAAAGGGGGCGAAAGCAAAGTGGGCTGCTGGCCGCCACCCCCATACGTCACCCTCGTTGGCCAAGTGTTACGCGGATCACCTCGGAAGAACATAACTGCGTTCTCGCGATCTTTGGACGCAACGACCTAAATCGTTGTCGGATACAATCGCATTTTTAACTCGATCGCCTGATGTTGACAGCATAGATCGCAGATAACTTGCGGTTGAAAAAATGTCTCGGAGACAATCTAAGTGTGACGCATGAAATGTCGTATCATTTAATTATCCAATTTTCAAGCTTTAGTAATCTTATATCTACTATTTCCGTATACTAAGAAAATAATTATTAAATTTTATAAATATTTCTTTGAATAGTCACATTTACTTACGATAAATAAATATTTAGATACATGAAAAAATGATAGTTGAATCAAATTATTGGTTCTTGTATCTAATAAATATGTATTTACATTTAGTAAATATTCCGCTAGAAGTAGTCAAAGAACTATTTGTAATTTAATAAATTCTTCCCTCAGTGCACTAATTTTGTTAAAACTAAATGTGTTATTAAACAATATATAGAGAAATAATATATTCGGTAAGGCGAATCTCAATAAATATTTCTGTCCGAATTTATGTATATATGTGATTTTTGCAAATCGCGCGTCGAAATCTTTTTCGATCTTGAAACGCAATCATGAATAAAACTTGAGTAGTAGTATCACTTATTAAATTGACAAGCAATTTAATAATTTTTATTATTTTTAATGCTAATAAACAGCTTTACTTTAATAAAAATATTATTAACCTAAATGTTAACGAATCATAAATCTGCGAAAAGTTTAGCGTGAAAAATATTGTTCGCAGAATCAGAATTGTATATAAATTCATACAGAAATATTTAAGAACTAAGAGCCACTTTAATCACAAATATAGGATTTATCTCGTTCAATAAGATTTATTCTCATCGGTGTCCAAATTATTAAATATAAATGTGTTATATTTAAACCAAATGTTGGCATTTCGTATGCCACCTGTAAGTCCGTGATTTACGAGAATTAAAAGATACAATTAAAATGTATCATTGTCGCCCATTTTATTGTACGAATTTGAAATATAAAATAGAAGTTTTGCGTGATTTTACACGAAACAAACAAACAACACACGGAATCAATTATTCATTGTTAACATTCCTGAGTGGGACGCAAAGGTTAAAGTTTAAAGTAGCATAGTTTATAGTACATCTTAGGTAGGATAACGCTTTTAGTTTCCCACTTGTAAGCACGAAATGCGGTTAAAATAATTGGCGTTGTAGAGAAATTTATTTTCGCCCGAAAAATGCTCGCTCAGCGCGAATGCTCCGCGGGATGGTTGGAAGACGGGCTGTTTCGGATGTCGGTAAGCGAAAAGAACAGAGAAAAGGTAGAAGGGTGAGAGCGAAAGAAAAAAGAAATGTTTTATGCACCGTGAAAGATTCCGGAGGCGCTCGTGACGTAGCGCGTCGGTGCTTATTGGAGTCTGAGTGCGCGAGAACGAGCGGCAGGCACGGTTCCAATTAGTCGCACTAATTATTGCGTGCTGTCAGCCACTTACGACGGTCGGAGACGCTTGTAATGGCCGGGATACGCGTACATTGCACGCCAAACGTCCGCGGTGTGTCGGCCCTTAAAAACACGCGCGGATGCATACGAACCGTCAAAATGCGCGGGTAAGGTTCTCATTAACTCGAGAAATCAAATTTTGAGACACTTTCAAATGACGCCGTATATATCATTCTCTCGTCGCGGGCACAACTTTTTTTCTCAGTGTCTTGTGACCTCCTGTCGCTTTGCTGAGAATTTTATTTCACTCGTAAGTTTTAGGCATCTAGTGATTATTTTAAATTTCACTTAACTTGAATCGATAAAACGTCCGAATCCCCGTTCATATTTTTCACAATAAATTCTTTTTGTATATTTTAAATATGTAAATTAATATCAATAATATTTCCTTATCAGTTTAATTTGTAATATTACATACTGCAGCTTCAGTCTATAGAATTGTGTTTCAAAATAGATAAATAATCGCGCGTATTTGTTTGAAATTCTTAAAACTTACACAAATATTATTAGACACCAAGACCCTAATCGAATGGCTCTCTTCACTCATTTGTGTCGAACTTTTCTCGATTCGTTTTCACTTAATATTGTTTGTTTTAAATTTTATCGTAATGCTAACCTTCGATTATAGCAACAGGTCATTTGAACCCAAAATGAATATTTTAGATGGTTATACATTCTGTATGATTGATACTGTGAAATTTTTAATGATAAAAAACCTTGAACTTCTTTCTATCAATCGCTATAAGGCGAAGGTTTATTACATTTTATACTTTAAACAGGACAGTTTAGAAATCTGGTTTAAGTTATTAAAACAAGCATGAGAAAAATCATAAAGTATTATATAGTATATATCTTTGAAAATATAAAACTCGTATTAATAATTCATAATAATGATTATATCAATATTATGAATTATTAATACGAGTATACTTTCAAAGATATATATTACATAATATTTTATGATTTTTCTCATGCTTGTTTTAATAACTTAACCCAGATTTTTAAACTGTCCTGTTTTATTGTTCTAAAATCATTTAGAACTTTGATGTTGTTTTCATAGTTATAGTTGAAGACCAGGGAATTGGAAAAAATAGAGAAGAATCTATCTCGAATATTTTTTTCTTTTTTAACAATAATACAATACAATAGAGGAATATACAATATTAAATTTATGCTGTCAAATTATCAAATTTGAGTATTTCTTAATCATTCCTATAGTCTTAATAGATTCTTTATAGTCTATATTTTCTTAATCATTCTATTTAATACGTCATCAATTTAACTAAAACGAAATTAAACAAAAGAATATATTTTTGGTTCAAATTTAATTTATTATTTATTTATTAAGGACAAGGGAGTTGATTATATGTCGTTTTTAACCATATGTTTTCTACTAAAATAATACAGTTTGACACTTGGAAATTAAAAATAACAACATATTATTTAAGAATTATTTATTCTCTACATCTGAATCAGTGGATAGTCACTAATTACCCAGTGGCATACTTGGCATTGATAATCAGTGAAGTTCAACTAAAAAAAGGAAGGATGTTTGAGCATTATATAACTAAAATACTGATATTTGCACGTTAATTTTAATTTTCCAATACCATATTCATTGAATTTAAGCACTAAAACAAGATTAATTAGATCACATAGTAAAAATTAGCTAGGTTAAGGATCTCACGTTTAATTCACTGATTATCAGTGGCATACTTGGCACTGGTATCAGTGATTATCCACTGATTCAGATTTAGAAAGTAAGCTAAACTCGATTCTTTAATATTTAACAGTGTAATTGTAGCGATTTGATTTGCTGTTCCAGACGGCGCCGTAGTTGAGATCACGATGACTATGGACGTGAGCAAATCCGAGACGAATAAAAATGGGAATGCGCCGGCTGCGGGAAGACAATTACGGAGAGGTAAACGACAACACACATATATACAATGTATTTTTGCATGATCTGTACTCTTAAAAGAAAACACTATCTTTGTCTCTCGCTCTTTCTTCATTAATAAATCCGTTACATATTCAATATTTTGTCGCAAGAATGTAGATATCGCTCTCCGATCTCTAAAGCGGCCCTCTCTCGCTTCGCTTAAAATGTTTAGTCAATGCTTTTGCGTAAATCTATGTTAAATATAAATATCAAGATAAGAGAGGTATTTTCAAAACTTAAACGGCCGGTAAGAACGAAAACTACGGTCGGTCCTTCAGATACCTCCTCAAGGCCCTGGACCTCTACTGGCACGAAGACTGCCTCAAGTGCGGATGCTGCGACTGTAGGTTAGGCGAGGTCGGCTCTACCCTCTACACCAAAGCTAATCTTATCCTCTGTAAGAGGGACTACCTCAGGCTCTTCGGGAACACGGGATGCTGCGCGGCATGTAATAAGCAAATACCGGCGTTCGAGATGGTCATGAGGGCCAGAACGAACGTCTATCATCTCGACTGTTTCGCCTGCCAGCAGTGCACTCATCGGTGAGTGCGAATGACAGTATTACCCTTATTACATTACTAGCTCCAACTCTATTAGTCAAGATTCTAGAATTATCTTTATTATTAGATCCGGTCTTTCTTTTAACAAGATTCTCCTCGTTTATTCTCGTACCTTTTCTCCTCGATTTAGACTGTGAATTTGTGAGTTTTATTTTGAATGTACTCTCTAAATTTCTTGGAGTGAAATTCCATTTGAAAATTAGAGCGATTAACGAATCACTAAAATTAGAATAACTTTTCATTCATATATCCCGTAAAATTTGTAGTGTTAAGTTATATCTAATTTTATATTTTTAACCATTTCTATAGGTCGCCACTGCTCTTACTCACTGTGTCGTTAATTTAATTAAAATAATGCAGTTAATTTAACTTTAAAAAAATGTATTAAATTTGACTCAAATTTAGTTTATTATTTACTAAATGCATACTTTAATACGAACGTTATTTAGTTTAAAAATAACTACAGAAAAATGAATTGATTTATTACATTTGGACGTATATGGAAGTTAAAGATAAAATAAAATATTATTTAACTCAAGGGATTGGGTTGCCATTACTCCTTCGATATCTAATAGTGCAGTGTGAAGTGAATTCTTCCACTCTGTGTTACGGAGTAAATATTTTCATTCGTAATTAAAGAAGAATCTGATATGCTCTACATCACTGTAACAGTTGGAAACAGTACACACGCACCAATGCACCAAGTACGAAAAAATTCAGTGAGCAAGTCACATTGTCTCGTCGATATCGTATTTTGCTGATATTATATAGAAATGACAACGCTTCTTATAGAGATAAAATATAAGAACCTATGTATATTTAGTTTATAAACAATTTTTTAAATTAAGACTCCTGATTTTATACTGAAGACATCAAGTTTTAATGTTTCATCATGTTCCGACACTGACGTTTCACTCCAAACGAATGAAACATTCACTATAGTTAGAGTTAGACATTTTCCTTATGAAAAGTAAAATGTCACTCTATTCCGAATGTGCTTTCACTATCAATTGGAATGAAGTTCATTCGTTTTGAATGAGATTTCATTCTGAAAAATTTAGAGAGTGGAAAATTTAAAAATAAATACAGCGCTATATAGAAAACACATTTTATTTCGGTACTATGCAAGCTGCTATCCGCAGAATTATTTAAAAATTTGCGCTATTTTCTTGTATTGAATAACGGAATTTCAAAAACAGAAACGAAATTCGTTGGGGCTCGTTAATTATTAAAAATTACCGCACGACGTAAAGCGCCGGACGACTCGGAGGAAGACTCGAATCGGCTAAATTTGCTATCTCGCTTCCCGTCCCTCCAATCCCAAACTACCATCCTCCTTTATTTTCTACTATTCCCTTTCACGGCGATGCATCTTTCGCGTCGCGTAGACACATATGTGAAGACGGCCAACGGTGGAAGAGACTACTGGTCCGCGTGGCAAACTTGATAGGGAGAGGGGTTAACGGGGATAGGTTGCTTTACAGGTCAGCTGGGAAATCACCCTGCGCTTTCCGCACCATGACCTCTCTTTTCTTTCGCGATGCCGTTTTCTGGACCGATTTGGTCGTGAAACCTCGCGGCACGTCTTCGCGCATCCCACGACTTCAGTCTCCATCTGCCAAAATATGCGATATGCTATCCACTTCAACCATCTTTTTCGTTCGTTTTTATAAAATAAGCAAGATTCAACACAAATAATTGAAATTTTACATCGCTATAATATCATTGTTTTATGCAACATATTAATAAATAAGGAAATAGTAATGAACGTAGCATATTTCTATTTTATTTGTTAGCAATTTTGGAAGGAAGGAAAGAGAAAAAATAATCTTGTCATAATCAAATAAAATTAATCAATAGTATATATATATATATATATATATATATAAAATTGCCAAAAATTAATCATAAAATAAATGTAATTAAAATAAGTAATTGATAAATTTTATTTTAATTAATTAATAGAATTGTTATTCTTAACTAAATAATTATAAAATCAATCTGAAAAATAAAAGTTACCAAATGAGAAACCCAGAAATATGAAAATTATAATATATTTATTAACAACATTAATAATACTTGCTAAAAATTTATAAAATAAATACAATATGTAATTGACAGATTTTATTTTAATTGATAAAATCGTTACTTTTAACTAAATAATTAAAATTAATCTGAAAATTTACAAACTAATATATCAAAGTTAAATTTATTCACATTTATTGTTTGTGTGTCAGGAGTGTATTGACATTTTGCGGCCTTAAAACTTTGCCGATATATTCGTTATCGATTGACCTCTTTAATCCTAGCGCGGTTTGAGACTTTTTGTAATCAATGAGTTATTACGAACTGAACGATGAACTCTGATGGGAGATTAAGCATAGATCCAAATTTTAATAGGTTTTGAATTTTGCCTTTATAAGTTTCTTCTGTATCCTAATACAAGTTTATAAGTTTCATAAGTTTCTTAGCGATATAAAGGGCTTGCTTCAGAGCGAGGATAAACGTCCTTCTCTCTCTTTCTTTGTCTCATCTACTTCGTCTTTTAAGAGACAGTAGTTATTTACGTCGTATTAATATCCGAATATCGAGTATTTTCACGTTTAATTGAGATCAATCTTTGCGAACAAGACACCGATATCAACTCTTTCCATGACTCCTATAGATCGTACGCTCCAAGGTGACATACGAAGTACGCAACATTAAACAAGATCAATTGTAATGAATAAGATCAATCGTCGTGGATTTATCTATCAAACTCGCACGTTATCACCCGTTACTTTTTTCGTCGGTCGTTTTAATTATCTCCGGGCCACGGTACGACATTTAAACAATATGAGACAACGAAACGAGGCGGCGGAGACCTGTAGCGATTCAATGGCGGGAAGCGTACAAACGAGTGCACAAAAGCCAGTGGAGCGATACAATACTGGCTTACGGACGAAGTGACTCGTTTTGGGGGGAGGGGAGGTAACAACGAGCAGGAGAGAGCAGATAGAGCAGGTAGGAAGAGAGAGGAAATCTGTAGCCGTTCTGTCGGTAGAGAATGGCGACAGAAAGAGGGAGAGAGAACAGGGGAAATGATACAGGAGCCGGAGGTGGAGGATGTAGTTTCAAGCCAATAGCAATGGTCGTCCAGGCGTGTGGCAAACGTTGCGCAGCGTCTCAAACAATGTGAACAAAAGAGCATCAATTTTACGTTTTTATCGTCCGGCATTGTCTATCTTTGACAATGCGTCCCGGTCGCGCGCGACTCGCGGCGAAAGTGACCTGTAAGGGGTAAGGGGAGGGTGGCTCGCACGTCAGGATCAAAAACGAATTCGAACGGTGGGGGGGGGGGGAGATAGCCATTGGGGATCCTTTGGAAAGAATCGCGGACGTGTGACGTTCGCAGACAGAGAGTAGAAACCGGTCGACGTTGTCTCGGGGTTGAGGAGGAAAAGCGAAGAAAGTAAATTGAGACGGCCGTGCACTCAGTCCGGTCATTATATTTGTTGTAACAATCGCGTTGCGTGTGTCGTGGATGATGTACGAGCGCAATTAAAACGCGCGCTCGCGATAAAATATGCCTGATGCGGAATATTCGGTGCGACCCCTGCGCGCCTGCGATCGTGCTGCTAAAAAGCAGGCAGGTTGGTAGGTAAATTTGAAGAGGGCAATTACTCGCAGCGCTGCGCGTCCTGTAACGAGACGACTTAGAGTTTGCAATTAAACAGCAACAATTACACGGGGTAACTTTAGACTGTAATAACACAGAATAAAGGGTTGCCAGTGGCTGCGACTAGGCTCCCACCCTCCTGGTTAGAGGATGATTTACCGATGCAATTAGCTCTCTCCTTCTCTCTCTCTCTCTCTCCGCCCTCGATACGAATACACATACGTATGCATTAGCGCAAGCGCGGGCATCGCGTATTCGCTTCCCCTCCCAATTTCTTTCCTTCCGTCGAATCCGGTCAAACATAATGACTACTCGATTAAACTTTCGCCTTTGCGACTTGGATTTAATATTATGCCGGCGCGAGACTCGGCGGAATTGCAAACGATGTGGAATTTCTTATTTGTAGATAATTGCTATTTGCAATCGAAATTATAGCGTAAAATATTTTTTATTATTTATAAAAATGATATTCATTAATCATTACGCTTCGTTGATAAAAAACAGTGACAAAAGCACAAGTAAAAAATTTGCATTTTTTAGATAATGAAAGTAAATCGAAGACTAATACATTTTTTGTGGAAAGATGACATAGCTCATATTTGCACATATTCGAAAAATATCGCATTTTTGATAAAGAGTGAAATTTGCATTATATAAAGCTGTTCACTGTCCAGTGTTCGAATTTTGAAAACTCATAACGTGGTTTTAACTTCAAATGAATAGGTGAAATGACCACAGCACCCTATAGTTTTTTTAAAACAAAATTTATTATATTGTATACCTCTATCTCATAATATAATCAATGTGAATTTAATATAATATATTAGTAAAAAATACAACTATAAAATTAAAATTTGTAAAAAGTGTTTTGATCATCCTACTATGGTACTTGTGTATCTTTAAATTTGTACTTACTTAAAGAATATATCATAATTAAAAGTATATATAACATGAAAGGAAGATCAAATTGGACATAGAAATTGGACATTTATTATTCGAATTAAAACGTTCCAGTTCAGAATTTTTTAGAAGTGTCACTTTTCTATCAGCAATATAGTACAATCGGTCACAACGCGTTATTGTTCATGCTTTTTCATTATATTTGATAAAGATTACCCGTTCCGCAGCGGTTATCTGTTCCGAGGAGACATCCGGATTGCGCTCAGCGTGTGTGCTGTCGGCACGACGGCTTGACCCGCAATTTCCGCGATTCACGCCGCGATGCGTCGAATAAAGATTTTATCTGAGAAACTGGCGAGACGCGCATGGCAAGGCCGCTGAAATTTTGATGTGCTGATGCTCGCGCGCAGAGGACGGTATTACT